TTTTTTTAGTTATTATTTTATTTGGGTAAATTTAAATGGTAACAATGAATAAACAAAACATCAAGGATTTTATTTTTGTGCTTACTTTTGTTCTACACGTCTTACTTTTCAAGATTTCAGTACCTAAAAATGCCAGAAATTTCACCATTTCTCGGCCAGAGATATGGCCACCTTAAGCACTGGTCTACAAAAAGTTTTTTTTTGGCAAAACTGATTTATTCAAAATAGTCCACTTCCGACTAAATACAGCAATTTGAATGGTCTAAAAACATGTCGCCATACACTTTTCGGTAGCCTAAATGTTCGGCCAAAATAATTCCAATTCCATAAGTTTTAAAGATTTTGGCTGATCTTTAACGAATTCACGCACATTCTGATGGAATCTGCTGTGATTACGGATTTCGGCTGGCCAACATGTTGGTCATCATTTATGTCCTCATGACCGTTTTTAAACAGCGTATACCACTCACAAAATCTGCCATGAGATAAACAATCATTACTACAAAATTGTTCATCAATTGTAACGTTTAGGTAAAGGTTTTACCAAGTTTAAAATAAAACTTAATATTAGCTCTTTGTTTTAAATTTAACAAATCCTTTGTCACGGAAAAGTTTCCCGTATAGAAGTATAGTTATGAGGAATTGGTTAAGAATTATTTCAATTAATTTTGAAAGATGGCAGCTGTATTATTTGATGTAATAAATGAGAAAAGAATAATGAATTATTCAGTAACAATATTAAAAGCGTTCATTTCTTTGTATTGTGTTTCGTGAAAAGTAGTTCCAGGGTGGTGTAGTTTATTTAAACCTTTGGTTCGAAAGAAAGTAGATCAATTGAGTTAAAATTGATAATTGAATTAATCCCTAATATTTTTTATGCAACAAATGTAGCATGAATTTATTCCTGTCGCGTCATAACAAATCTATCTAAAGAAAGGAAGGCATCCGTGTCCTGATTAAAGAACTGCCGATGTCCCTGGTCGACGCTCGATCACATCGATAATTCTCTCGCGTGGTCCGAATTGGTATGGCTCCATCCCTACTGCGCGGCTATGCTTTCCTGGCCATTTTTGGACCACTGGAACACTACATCCTTCTAGACTAACCTCTATTGATTTGTTGCTGATGTATTAGGTTCAAATTCTGTGAAATTCGAAGAATATTTGGCCTCCGAAATTCGGACCTGGAACGACTTCGTCGCTCTTATTTCATGTCGTTGGGAATATGGCTTATTGCGAGGTAATGACGGCGGGAAATTTTAGAAAGTGAGGCGAATTTCTTCATTCTCCGCTTTGACGTTGACTGCCGTGGATGGATCGATTTGCAGCAACTCGGAGTGGTTTTGCGCGACGAGATTTTGGAAAGCGAGGTGAAAAATCCCTTTTCGCGCCACGCTCGCTGCATCGTCGCGCTGGGGCTCTGGATCCTTTGGGACATCGTCCTCGCGCTAACTACGACCGATTTGCCATGCGGTGGTTTTTTCCGGCTTCGTGGTCCCGATTGCATTGTGTGGGGAATTGTCGAAATGGCGCCAAAAACGGATACTTACTTGATCTTTATAATTTTGTTCCTCTTTCAGATTTTTGTTTATATTTAATCGACAATCAGTTACAGATCTTTTAAAAACAGAAAAATATGTACTGACAAGACATCCAAACGCTGCGTGACCTAAAATTTCGTAAGATTAATTATTTTTTCGTACGTTTCCCAAGAGCGGCAAACATCTAATTAGACTAATTCGAATTTTATTGAATTATTATCAATGCGATATGCACAATCTATATGGTAGTTAGCACCGTTGGTAATCGTGACTTTATCAGTCACCAGTTCATTAACGTGATAAAAGTGATGTAGCAAGTATATTTCACGTTGAAAATTGAATCGAAAAATATTGCTTTATTTATAAAAAAAACTGTTTATTTTCGGGTAATTATGTACTGGAAATTATAAAAAATTTGTTTCGATAGTAAAGAAAAGAGTCAATATTCTCACAATTCATTTATTTAAAACTAATTGCAAAAAATTGATTCCGAACAATTAGGAATTAATTACAGTCAATACGATAAAACCAAGTAAGAATCACTGTTACTACAATAACAGCAACTCATAAAATTAAATGACATAATACAAAACACAATTACTTAATTTTCGATGAAAGTAATCGTAAGAACAGTTACCTACGATGCTCTGCGTTTTATGGAAACCTTGCCCCTGGACAAGTACGAGATGTAGATGCGCACTTTGGCGCCGTCGGACTTTTTCACCCAGATGGCGTCGTTGCCGATGGCCGATATGTTGGCGGGGAACTTTGGCATGTCGCGGCCTAGCAAACAAACACATACATATAAGTAATTATAGTAAAAACAATCATATATACTTGTAAAAGTTGCAAGTCATTTTCTGCACATTCATGTTTTTGTCACCTAGGCATTGCTGACAGAAAGAGTAAGGTGATTTCGCTGAAAGATTATTAGTTTTTCCAAACCGAAGTACAAGCCGTTAAATGGATAAGTGAATAATTAAAATTACTTAAATTAATTAAAAAATAAGAAGGAATCTAGTAATCAATCGGGTGTCCTAAAATTCTAGCAAGATTTGAATTTTGCGCTGTTTCTGCGGTAAAGTGTTGCCAACGAAAAAAAGACAGCGTGACAGCTGACAGTTCAGGGTTATTTAAAATGGAGCGCTACACGAAAGAACAATGCGCCACTATTGAGCAATATTTTAAAAATAATGATCCTTTGGTGTTTCGCAATTTTCGTACAAAATATGATCGGAATAGTGATTTAACGTCATCAAGTGTGAACTTGAAAAATTCACGGAGACTGGATCAATTAGTGATATTAAACACTCTCTGAGGCAACTATGCCATTGTTAAATGTAATATTTGAAGTTTATTTTCTTCACAAAATAAATTTCGATAATACAACAACAAGTTAATATCCCAGCTCTTGTTTGTTCTACAACAGGTCCACAATAGTATATTAAAGTATAAGTGGATATTAAGGTCTTTAAAACACGCGCGATTTTTCGAGCACGACGGCGCGGCGCAGCCGCAGTGCTCGAAATAGAGCAAGTGTTTTAAAGACCAGTTATCCACGAATACTTTACGCTATTTTTTTTTATTGGTACGCGTTGAAATCATAAATATTGTATTAATACTACAAAAAATGGAAATAACAACTAATAATGTCAAAGGATTGAATTTGTGATGTTACATCAGTATACCTTTCGTTGTCATGAAAACCGGAAAACAAAAATTAATTTGTAACTGTATTGGCACCATAGACCTTATAAACTACTGGACTCGCCCAACTGTCATTTTCCCTATATAAACGGCAATCGCTCGGACGTGTGCGAGAGAGATGGAGCTAGTAAGGGCTTAAGCTTCGTTCACAGAATTTCGATTGCAGCGCGCTACATTTAATTCAACCAATCAGCTATCGATTCCTTACCTCTTTTTTCTGTTGGGTCGTATTCAAAAACTATAAAAATAATATAGAGACTAAAAGACAAAAAATTTTAATTTTTTCTAGTAGTGTATGTATGTAAAAGGGTTTATTATATTACTGTCCTAATTACAGTACAATATTTGAATTGTATTTCTCCATTTATTTTCCTGATATCGTAAACTCGATCGGTTAAAATTACTGCAAGCTTTTCTGACGTAGTTGTTTCAAATATTTCATATTTTCTTGCTTTGCAGAACTGTATAAATTGAAACTATGTCGATGCTTTCTTCGTTCAACATATTATTTGAAGAGAATTTTTGCTGATTTTATAGAATTATATATTT